GTATTCGTAGTTGTGGTCGTCGTTGTTTCGCGGCGGCTGCTGCGGAAGACGTGCAGATTAGTTTCCTCCTACTGGTGGGCCCCAGTCCTTCAATGAGGCCGCCGAAGTTAATTAGTTCAGCCCCGTGTTAACGTCGTTCGGACGTTTTTTTCTTGCCGGCGACGCCGGCGACAGAAATTCCGCGCCATCTCGCAGCATGGACGACCGAACAATGGCAAGCCCGTTCGCCCAGAGAACCCAAACAGTGATTGTACATAGGGGTTCATCTTTGATTTCTAACGCGCTAGGTCTGCGGGTCGGCCTGCCGGCTATTTTCTTGCCGTCGCCGCTTCGTCGTCGCCGCCCCGTCGCCGCCTCCGCCGCCTCGTCGCAACGCAGCGGTTGCAATAGCGTGGCCGCCGCCGCCGCCCCGTTCATTGCACCGCGTCGATTGCACCGCATAGATTAGATGGCACCATACATGTACCCAGCTGCATACGGCAAGTCCCGCCATCGTGCTTGGGTCGTGGTATATATATATATATATATATATATATGCGTATTGGACGTTCGTTCGGGTCTCGTGTGAGGCCTCTCGCGGGCACCTTGCATGCAGTTGTGAAGCCTCTTGAGGGCCGCGCTGTGGCTTCTTGAGGTATATCATGGGCCTTTGGGGGGCCTCTGGGAGGCCTTTGGGGGGCCTTTTGGGCGCCTCTTGGGGCCTCCTGCAGGCCCCTTGAGGCGGAAGGCTTGGATTGTTGGTTATAGTTCCTTCTCTTGGGCCCCTTTTGAGGCCGTCGCGTGGCATCCGTGGGCCGTTTTGGGGCCCTCTTTGGCCGTTTTGGGCGCCTCTTGGGCAGTATTGGAGCAATCTTGGGCTGCCTTGGAGTCCTCTTGGTGGCCTGGGCGGGCGTCCTGGAAGCCTTGGAGGGGAAGCGCCATGGCCGCCCAACCCCCCTCCCGGAGTAAGGGTAGTCCAGTCGCCTGTCTTCGAAGAGCGTATGGTCCCTTGGAAGGCTACAGGAATTTGCCAGGCAGCCCGTGGCATTCTTCCACACCTCAGCGTGCCGCAGGCGCGGAGGCGGAGATTGCACAATGTAAAATGCACAACATTGATTCTCCATATATATATATATATATATATATATATAAGCTCTACCTCCCGGGGATTATCCGCCCCCTTCTGGTATTGCAGTTTACAAACGATTATGTCTCATCGTCCGTCCTAAATATGACCTCGTACCATCCCAGCCCACCCCGTATCGCCCCCCCACGCCATCCCCTACAATAAACACTATGCGCGCACATTCGTTCATCACATATCATCATGTGTCAAGAATCCCTGGAACACAAAATACCGACGAGATGCGCACGCGCGCGTTGTCGCGCGTGCGTGCCGCAATCCTTGCAAAACCTTTGGTTTCGTAAGAGTTCAAAATCAAGTGTCCGATAAACATATCAAACACATGGTTTCGCAGCACGGATCTTCAAAACAAATTTGGGCGCGTGCTCTTGCGAATTCCCTTTTTATTCAAAACACATGTATCTTTTTTCCAACATGTTCATCAAACATGTTACCAAACGGGCTTCGCGCGCACGCTTGTCGAAATCGTTCGAACGCCCTTGCGCGCGTGCCGTCGCGAGAGTCCTTTGCAACACATAGAACGAAGTGCACACGCGCGCGTCGTCGCGCGCGCATGCGTGAACCCGTGAAAACCCGAGTGTTTAAAAAACGTATAAAACAAACAGTAGTTGTTACGCAACATCAATGTTCAAACACAGCGTGCGCTCGCGCCCTTGCAAGCTCCAACATGTTCACGCAATTATTCCAAGTGGGCCTTTGGCGCCGCATGCCGACACCATTCGCACGCCCTTTCGCTCGTGCTGGGGGTGCACGATCCGTGTCTAAGAATACAATGCAGGCCACTCTCGCGCGCCGGCCGCGCTCGCATGTCGAACTCCTTTCACAATTTTCATCACGGAAGCGAGGACGCCGTCATCGTCGCCGGAGTGATCAGCATCGGCGCCCGCACTTTTCGCGCCGTCGTCTATGTCAACATCGCCACCAGCATCGTTACTATCATCATCGTGTCTACCGTCGTCGACATTGCCATGATACCGCGCCCGCCCAAGTTGCCGACTCGCACTGAAGTGCCTGTCGGGATGTGCCCAGCGGTCAGCGCCACCGCGGCCGCATCGGTCGCGCCAAATTAGCTGGCCGCTGCGCGCGCGCGCTTGGGTCGGTGCGGCCGCAGAAATGGACCACCTACCATCGAGCAGTCATCGCAATCGCCACCGCACGGGTTTTGCAAACCAAGTTGCGGGCGGGTGGGTGGGATGATTGCGCGAGTAGTTGAGGTGGTCAAGCGTGGTGCAGGGTAGTCATGTACACCATCGATTGCACCACACGTCATACACTAAACTCTAACACCGCCCCCTTGGATCATCGGTCCCCCTGGAAATCGTGCAATTCACACGTGGTTCTGCCCCATCGTTCATTCCCTACCTAGGCTCTGCCTACAAGGGTTCTTACTCTCTTTGCTTAAAGGGGCCGGGCAGTGCTACACGCCCCGGGCGGTTCCCCCAGTCCCCGCCCCGCGGTTCCCCCAGTCCCCTGGGAGTAGCCTTAGCTTTAGCTTTAGCTTAGCTTTAGCTTTAGCTTTAGCTTTAGCTTAGCTTTAGCTTAGCTTTAGCTTAGATTTAGCTTAGCTTTAGCTTAGCTTTAGCTTTAGCTTAGCTTTAGCTTAGCTTCAGCTTAGTGTTACCTTAGCTTTAGCTTAGCTTTAGCTTAGCTTCAGCTTAGTGTTAGCTTAGCTTGAGCTTAGTGTTAGCTTATCTGTAGCTTAGCTTTAGCTTAGCTTTAGCTTAGCTTTAGCTTAGCTTTAGCTTAGCTGTAGCTTAGCTGTAGCTTAGATTTAGCTTAGCTTTAGCTTAGCTTTAGCTTAGCTTTAGCTTAGGTTTAGCTTAGGTTTAGCTTAGCTTTTGCTTAGCTTTTGCTTAGCTTTAGTTTATCTTTAGCTTAGCTTTAGCTTAGCTTCAGCTTAGCTTTAGGGTAGCTTCAGCTTAGCTTTAGCTTAGCCCTAGCCTAGCTTTAGCTTAGCTTTAGCTAAGCTTCAGCTTAGCTCTAGCTTAGCTTTAGCTTAGCTTTAGCTTTAGCTTAGCTTTGGCTTAGCTTTAGCTTAGCTTTAGCCTAGCTTTAGCTTTAGCTTATCTCTAGCTTTAGCTTAGCTGTAGCTTAGCTTCAGCTTAGCTTTAGCTCAGCTTTAGCTTAGTGTTAGCTTAGCCATAGCTTAGCTTTAGCCTAGCTTTAGCTTAGTTTTAGCTTAGCTTTAGCTTAGCTTCAGCTTAGTGTTAGCTTAGCTTTAGCTTAGCTTTAGCTTTAGCTTAGCTTCAGCTTAGTGTTAGCTTAGCTTTAGCTTAGTGTTAGCTTAGCTGTAGCTTAGCTTTAGCTTAGCATTAGCTTAGATTCAGCTTAGCTCCAGCTTAGCTTTAGCTTAGCTTTAGCTTAGCTGTAGTTTAGCTTTAGCTTAGCTTTAGCTTAGCTTTAGCGTAGCGCTAGCTTAGCTTTAGCTTAGCTTTAGCTTAGCTTTAGCTTAGCTTCAGCTTAGCTTTAGCTGAGCCTTAGCTTAGCTTTAGCTTAGCTTTCGCTTAGCTTCAGCTTAGATTTAGCTTAGCTTTAGCTTAGATTTAGCTTAGATTTAGCTTAGATTTAGCTTTAGCTTAGTTTTAGCTTAGCTTTAGTTTAGCTTTAGCGTAGCTTTAGCTTAGCTTCAGCTTAGCTTTAGCTCAGCTTTAGCTTAGTGTTAGCTTAGCCTTAGCTTAGCTTTAGCTTAGCTTTAGCTTAGCTTCAGTTTAGCTTTAGCTTAGCTTTAGCTTAGCTTTTGCTTAGCTTTAGCTTAGCTTTAGTTTAGCTTTAGCTTAGCTTTACTGTTACTACTAATGCTGCTTTCCTAGGGGCTCCATCTCCTAGGTAGGGTCGCACTGGGATAATTTTAGTTCTGCTTCGTACCATCCCATCGGTGCGTAACCGCCCTCCCGCACCCCTGCCAACTAATATTATGTTCGCGCACGCGTTTATCAAACACATCCGCGTTCGAACAACCCGTTCGTACAATTCTGGGCAAAGCCGACACGTGTGCGACGTCGCACGTGTATGTTGGTTTTCGAGGCTCCCGAACCCATATAGAAGCAATGCTTTTGCAACATACCTGTTCAAAAAAAAACTGTGTGCGCGCGCCCATGCGAATATTTAGGGAACCCACACGTTTCCAGCATCTTCATCACATGCGACCAAGCGGGCCTCTCGCGCGCGCATGTCGCAATCATTCGGACGCCTTTGCGCGCTAGCTGGGGGGGGCACGGTCCCTGTCGAATCCGTCATGCGGGCCACTCGCTCGCGTCGGCCGCGCGCGCATATCGAAATCCTTCCAACACCTTCGTCGCCAACACGTGGACACCATCATCGCCATCGGCGTGAAAAAAAACATCAACGCCGTCATTCGCTTTGCTCCCGTCGTCGGCAGCATCGCCACCGTCATCGTACGTATCATCATCGTCTTTGCCGTTGTCGACGTCGCCATGATACCGCGCCCGCCCGAGTCTCCGACTCGCACTGAAGTGCTCGCGCGCCAGTGCGGCCTGTGAGACTCGCAGGAAAGTCCCAAGCGGTCAGCGCCACCGGGGCCACGTTGGTCGCGACAAGCTAGCTGGCCGCTCTGCGCGCGAGCCTGCGCGCGCTAGCGCGTCCGCAGTGATGTGCCAGCCAGCGCCAAGCAGTCATCGCAATCGCCACCGCACGGGTTTTGCAAAACAAATTGCGGGTGGGTGGGATGATTGCACGAGCAGTGGAGTTGACAAATTCAAGTTTTGAGCGGCGAATTGCACCACATGATGTGCACCACGTAGATCGCGCAACCCATATTAGGCCACATAGGTTGCACCACAGAGATTGCACCACATTGGTTGAACCACAATGGCACTGCTGCGGGCCCACGCTAGCCAACCCTTTCTTTCGGGCTCAGGCGAACGTCGACGCCCTCAGCAAGAACGGTTCCACCCCGCTCCTGGTCTCGGCGCGGGAGGGCCACACGGCTGTGTGCGACGCGCTGCTGCGGGCTGGCGCGGACGCGGACGACGGGGGCGACAAGGCCCGGGGCGGCGAGGCTTGCACACATCCACCGCCCCTGGCCAGGCCAATCTTGGGCCCAGGAGCGGCGCGTATGTCTAGGCCTCCCGAGTGGGGTGCGAGCAGATGGGGTCGAGGATCGCGCCGCATCGCCCATGCATCGGCGATACGGCACGGTCCTCCGACCTCATCTACTCCGACCCCATGCAGGCTCTCGTCTGCCTCCTTGGCTCGAGTTTCATGGTTTTGGGGTTCTCAGCGGCCCTCCAGCTCCGGGATGATTTCCAGCGGCTGCGCCTCGCTGCGGGAGTCCCGTGTTAGGACCCGAAAGTATCCCCAGCTCGCCGACCACATGTCTTTTTCAGCTGGCGGTTTTCCTCGATTTGGACCCCCAGAGCCAGTTATCGGGCCTCAGGGCCAGCATAATAGTTTGCACTGGGGAAAGGGTCAGGGCCTCTGGGGCCCGGGAGCGGTGTACATCGAGGAACAAAAAAAAACAGACAGCAACATAGTTTTCGGAGCTCCGCGCGGATTCCTCGAATCGGCGGGCCTGGTGGCGCTTCCGCCGCCGCCCCAGGCGCGCTCCGCGCGCCAGAGGGAGGGTCCGGCACAGAGCTCCGACATGATGATGGGCTTGTTTTCCACCACCACCACCACCATAAGCTGGAGGGGGAAGGGGTCCTCCTCCTCCTCCTCCTCCTCCTCCTCCTCTTCGTCGTCCTCCTCCTCCTCGTCCTCCTCCTTCTTTCCCCCTCAAACTTATGGTGGTGGTGGTGGTGGAAAACACGGCCATCAGTTGATGTTAACTAATGCCGTTCTTCGTTCCTCTAGTGGATGCTTCCCTGGCCAAGGCAGGACGGCGTGTGCACAGCTCCTGGGCCCGGGGCGGGCCTGGGTAGGAGCGGTGGGTGTGGACAGATCTCGTCGCCCCGCCAAGGGCTGGACGCCCCTGCTGGTGTCTGCTGGCGAGGGCCACATGGAGGTCCTCGAGGGTCAGACACGGCACAGGCACAAGTGCTCGACGAGGGCCGAAACACGAGTCCAGGCGAAGGATGTTGCAGTCGCTGTCGGCCCCCGGGGCCCTCGCCGGGCCCTGGGACCGTCGACCAGCTACTCGGGACGCAAAGCCAGCGCCGGGGAGAGGGTCGGGACTTCGGGGGCCGCGTAGGGATAACATCGAGACATCGGATGTTTGGGAGGGCATCGGCTTTCGGAGGTCCGCCTGGATCTCCTGGAGCGACGCCCTGGACCCCATCCCGCGGAGCGCGCCAGGGGTGCCACCGGGGGGCGCCAGCGGAGGCGATTCCAGAAGTCCGCGCCGACCTCCGACAGTTTTCGGTGCTTAAGCGCGCAGATGTTGATGGGCCTGTTTTCCACCACCATAAGTTGGAGGGGGGAAGGAGGAGGAGGAGGAGGAGGAGGAGGAGGAGGAGGAGGAGGACCCCCTCCCCCTCCAACTTATGATGGTGGTGGTGGAAAACAGGCCCATCAGATGTTTCTGGCCCCCGGTCTTCTGAACCCGATTGAGCCATGGTATCTCAGCCCCGCCAGCTCATCCGCCCTGGTGGGGGTAGGCCCAGCGAAACCCCAAGGGAACAGCGCATATCCCCCACCTGGGGGGGTCAGTCGGTCAGTGGGGCCAAGGCCATGCCAGTGGGGGCCGGGATCGGTCAAACGATGCCCAGGTCTGCCAGGCCCTGCTCCAGTACCAAGCCAACCCGCATGGATTTACGGGGGACGGGCGCTACGAGCGCAGCGCGCTGCAGGACTCAGGGGCGACGTTAGGGGAGAGGTAGGCTCAGGGGGGAGGGACCCGATGGCCCACCCCGCCCAGGACCGTGCGGATCGCCGATTCCAGCTCGAGGTCTCACCCCTGAGCCGCGCCACTGGTGGTCTTCGAGTTGCAGGTTTAAGCTTTTCGAGCGTTTCCGCCGGTTCTCGGCGGCTCTCCAACCTCGGGGTGCATTCCAGCGGCTGCGCCTCGCCGAGAGCGTTCCAGAAGTGCCCTGATCGTCCCGAACGGCCGCCCGAGCAGAGAATCGGCTGCACGATCGATTTGCTCCGAACTTGCTTTTTCGCCGAATTTAGAAACATGCATAGGATGGTTGTCGAATCTCCGAACATGCTACGTACTGTTCGCAGATTTGGCGAAAGAATAATTCTGGGTTGACTCAACTCTGTGTTTGATCCCCTGCTCGAGAAACCCCTCGAGGAAGCGGCCGAGCAGGGTCACGCGGCCGTGGCGAAGCTGCTGCTGGATCACCGCGCCGACCCCCGCCACAGCTACGACGAAGGCACCCGGCAGGTCACCGCCTACGAGCTGGCGGAGCGGAATGGGCACTCGAAGGTTCGGCACGAGCGATCCTCGAGGGCGATCCATATCGATCCTCGAGGATCGAGGAGGGTCGCCCTCGAGGATCGCGCTCGAGAGGGCCTCGCCCTCGAGGATCGAAAGAGTTGCCATCTCTGCCTCGGCGGCGGCAGGCGGGTGGAGGGCAGCGGGAGCAGGACGAGGCCGCAGCCGCCGGCGGAAGCAGGAGGTGCGCCCCCAAGATCGGTACGATCGAGTTGGGTACGGAAAGAATGGAGGCGAAGATTGGCAACAGTTCCTGTTCATTTTGGACCGGACTCGCTGTCGGTGTCGCTGCGGACGTTGTGAAATTTGGGGCAGAAGGCCGCCTGCCCAACAGCCGTCGCTGTCGATGTTGGGCAAAATTTGCTGTTTGGCATCGTACACAGCATTTCCATACGCATTCCCGGTGTCCAAGCAGGTGCTGACGTTGCTCATGAGCCAGGCCATGTGAGAGCTGCCTCCCGCGACGCTGCTTCGTTTAGGTTCGGAGGGGAAAACGATGTGTCTTTTTACCAGCGGTTTTCCTCGATTTGGGCTCTTGGGGCCTGTTACAGGGGATCAGAAATGGATCAGGGGCACAAAATGGTCCCAGGGAGGGGGACGGGACCTCTGGGCCCACGGGCTGAAGAAGTCAGATCGTCGAGTGTCTGGGTCGTGAGGCTCAGGGGAGGAAAAGATGCCGATACTGCTACCATTCCCTCGTCGCCACGGCTGGATTCGAATTCTGCATGAAAAGAAGCTTTCGGAGCTCCGAGCTCCGCATGGATTGCTCGGATCGGCGCTGGGGCCCCCCTGGCGGCGCCTCCAGGGCCGCCCTTAGCGCGCTCCGCGCGCCAGGGAGGGGGCCCAGCACCAATCCATGAAATTCGCGCGGGCTCGAAAGTTGATGATTGTGTAGTCATTATTCTTCTACGGTCGGACCGAGGTATAGGATCGAGGTTGGTTCGGGGAGGGTACCCTGATGTTCTTCGTGTTTGTTGGATATCATATTGTGCATCCTGGAAGAAGGTACCCTCGAATAGTCTGGTTTGGCCGGCGGAGGGTCTCATGTTCTTGAAGGACGTGTTTCTGCCCTCGGTCTGGCCGTACTCGTCGTCACCGCTAGGTTCGCTTCGGAATTTGAGTCAGAACGCCCCTCGGGAGAGGCCTGGGCAGCAGCGGCGCCGGTACCTTTTGTTGTTCCCCCGCGGGTGTTCCCCGAGGCACCCCTCACGGATCCGTTTTTGTTGACCTGTCTCGTTTTGCCGTTTCGTTGCCGGTTCTGGCGCGTTTGTTTTCTGGTTCCGTCGCCGTTGTTTTGCCGATGTGTGTTTTGGCTCCAATTCCGAATTTTTGTTCTTGACGTTTACGGTTGCCGTTTTTGTTCAAACCATCTTGTGGTGTTGGGTCTCCGTTTTGAAGGCCGCCGCTGGGGCTGAGGCCCAGCCCGGTGGGCCTCAGCCCCAGCGGCGGTCGCCGCCTGGCCGCGCGGCGCTGGGCCCTCGCCAGCGCCAGCCAGGCCGCCGACGAGGCGGCGCTAGCGGCGTGCGCAGACGCCGTTGTGTCCTCCGCGAGCTGCCGCTCGCCGCGGCCCGCGGCCTCCGCGGCGAGCCGGAGGAGGGCGACCGCATCCCCCTGCTCGGGGAAGGCCGCAGCGTCTCCGCCTGCGCGCGCAGCTCAGCCGCCCGCGCGCCCGCGGCTGCCGCGCCAGCGCCCAGCCGCGCTTCTGTCGGCCTGCGCGCCTCCGTCGCCTGCTGCTGGGTGCAGCAGGCCAGGTCCCGTGCCGTCGCCTGCTGCGGGTCGCAGCGGGCCGGTGCCGCCCGGGGCGGCGTCGCCACCGCGTTGCCGCCAGCGGCGTCGTCGGAGGCGTCCGCCCAGCTCCGCGAGCGCGCGCTGGGGGGGCCAGGGCGCTGCCCCCAGCGCCAGCCAGGGCGATCCGTACTCCACCTCGATGGAGTATAGTCGCCGCGGTCCAGCTCCCAGCGCTGCGAGCGCAGCGCGCGCGAGCCGCCCCCTAGCGCGTCCAGCGCAGGAGGATCCCCTCCGGGAGATCCAGGGCGTGGAAGCTCCAGCCGGCCTGCCGGAGGGCTTCCTCGACCAGCCGCGCGCTGGGCACCCTCGGAGGGAGAGCCGCGGCGGCCGGTTCCGTCGCGGTCGAGCCGGCCGGGCTCGCCGCCGGGTTCCGTCGCCCCGCGCGGCAGGGGCCTGTGGCGGGGCCGCCGCTGGCGGCTTGGGGCAGCGCTGGTTGCGTCCGTCGCCCCTCGGGGGCCGGTGCCGGCTGCTCCAGCGCCTGATTCCGCAGGCCTTCCGTGGTGGGCGCTGCGCGGCGGGCAGTGGCGGCGCCGGCGGCGCGTCCCGCTGCTGCAGCTCCGCTTGCTGCCCGAGGTGATGCTGGGTGCAGCCCCGCTGGGGGCGGGGCTGCTGCTGCCGCTGTCGCCGCTGGTGCCGCGGCACTGGCCGGGGCCGCGGGCGCCGGCGCCTCTGGGCTCTGCGCCGCCGCGGGCCTCGCCGCGTGCCCCTTCGTCCCCCCTGGCGTCTCCGGCGAGCGGGGCCTGAGCGCCGGCCTGGGGCGTGCGGCGCGCGGCGGGCCCCGCCGCTCGCGGGAGCGGCGCCGCCTGCGTCCGCGGCGCTGCCGGCTGCGGCTGCGGCTGCGGCTGCGGTGCCGCCCGCTGCGCTGCAAGCGCCCCCGCCACGCTGCTCGCTCGGGTGCCGAGCCGTCGCGCGGGCTCTTGCCAGCAGGGCGAGTCGGCTGGCTCTTGGGTTGACAGCCGCGTGTCTGCGAGGTCGCTGGAGCCGGCTGCTGAGCGTGCCCCTCCCGCGCCGGCCCCGTCGGTGGTGCCGCCGGCTCCGCTGCCGCCTCCCTGCACGGGTGAGCTAGCCGGACCGCGGGCGGAGGTCGGCTTCGCCGCGGCGCCGCCACCCGGCTCGGGCGCGCCTGCGCCTTCGCCTGCGCCTGCGGCGTCCTCCGCCACCACGGCGGCATCGCCGGCGCCGAGCCCTGGCGCTGGGGGGACCTGAGGCGCCGCGCCGACCGCCGGGAGCCAGGCGCTGCCCGGCGGGAGGCAAGGGAGGCACACCCAGCACCCCCCAGGCGTGCGTGACCAGGCCAAAATTGCTGATGGGCCCTCGAGCCCACGGCCGCGGCAAGCTCCCCCCCCCACACGGGGGTTGGGAACATGAGCCAAAATGGCTACGGACGACCAAGCAAAAGCACGAAATTCATCAGGCCGTGGCGACAGGAAGCCTCCCCCCAGGCGCTCCCCAAAAGGGCGCTAGCGACCTGAAGACCTCGGAGCTCGATCCTCAAAATCTGCTCGTACTCCCATTCCTGCTCCTGCTCCTGCTCCTCCTCCTCCTCCTCCTCCTCCTCCTCCTTCTCCTCCTCCTCCTCCTCCTCCTCCTCCTCCTCCTCCTGCTCCTCCTCCACCTCCTGCTCCTCCTCCTCGTCCATCCGCCTTCGGGGGCCTACCGCCGATCTATCTGCGATGCATCGCCTATTCCACGTCGAGGGTTCCCCCCTGAGTCGCGCACCTGGTGGTCATGGCATCACAGCTCGGGCCTCAGGCGGCCGTTGGGAACGATCTGGGCACCCCCAGAACGCTTTCGGCGAGGCGCAGCCGCTGGAAGGCATGCCGAGGCCAGAAGGCCGACGAGAACCGATGAAAACGCTTGAAACAATTAAATCTCGAAGTTCGAAAACCCCTAAAGGAGGCTGCCGATTCCGCGTCGATGCTTCCCCTCTGAGCCGGTCCCCCGTACCGTTGCCCCTCAACTTCGGGGCCGCTGGATGAGCCGGCAGCGTGTCGCGGACCTGGCGCGGCGCGGGGCCTCTGGCCGCTGCTGGTAGGGAGCACCGGCCCGGCGCGGCTGTGAAGATCCTCCCTTCGCTGCCTCCCTTCCTCCTCCTCCTCCTCCTCCTCCTCCTCCTCCCCTCCTCCTCCTCCTCCTCCTCGTCGTCCTCCTCCTCCTCCTCCTCCTCCTCCTCCCTCCTCCTCCTCCTCCTCCTCCTCCTCCTCCTCCTCCTCCTCCTCTTCCTTGCACCATCATCTTTCTCCTTACTCCCTCCTCCTCCCTCCTCCTCATCCTCCTTGCTCCGTCCTCTCTCTCAACCGTGAGCTCGAGCTGACGCCCAGTGCGCCGCGCCGCGCGGGACCCCCTGGCGCTGAAAGGCGCGCATGTTCGTGTCTGCGGCTTGAGGCGCCCCATCTGGGTATAAGACGGGGTGAAAACTTCGATAGTGATTCAAGGTCTTAGTAGAGGGCAAGGGAGCGAGTGGCTGTGCATGCTACGCGTTCACTTCTTAGTGCCGATCGTCTACTGTGGTGAAGAACTTGGAGAGAGACTTGCCGCCTTCTGTCGAGGTGCTGCGGTAGGATGTGGACGTCCAGGTCGTTGAGCCTGCCTTTGCCGCCGCCTCCTGGCCTTTGGTCTCTGTTCGACAAGCAGGACACGTGCAAACCGTCCAGCATGGAGGGCGAGGCGACTAACACTTCGGAACCGCAGCCAGAGAGCAGGAGGAACGTGGAGTACACCCAGGCCTTTGCAGCCAAGGGCAATTTGTCGGCGGCCGACTTGAATTCGAACACGAAGGAGCCGAAGGGGAAGTTGCCGAATTCTCCACCCCGGATCATCGAGCGTGCCGAGGCGGTCAGTGATGCGGCCACCACCAAGCGAAACGAAGATCAACAATAAGTTCTGGCCATTGAGATTTGCAGAAGCAGAAGAAGAAGAAGAAGCAGAAGAAGCATGATACATCACCGTCGAGACTCCTGTCAACCAGGTGGATGTCCATGCCGCCACAGCCGCAGCCAGTGGAGTCGAGCAGCGCACTCTATTTTTCCAGCTGGACGATGGCACCGATGAGGTTGGGCACGCCGTCTGTGGTGGAGCGGACGACGAGGAAGGAGAAGATGGTGGCCTTGCCGCCGACGAAGCCACCTCCGCCCGCGAGGCCGTCCGTCGTCTTGACGCCGCGCTGCTTGCAGGGTTCCGCGGAGAGGAGACCGCGCACTCCGCCGAGGAGGGTGAAGGTCGTGTTGAATTCTCGCCAGAATTCTTTGGTCGCGAAGCCTATCAGAACGAGCGTGGCGAGGGGGGCACGGGTTAGGACGTCTACCAAGAAGCTGGCGCGAGCAGGCCCAACAATAATAATGCGAAGCGCACGAAGCACAGGAAGGAATTGTCCGACGATGCCCCATCGAAGTTCGATCGCAACCTTGGCGCTGAGGAGATCGCCCCGTCGTTGAGTTCTGCAGCGCAGGGGGTTGGAGCTGCAATCGTCGATGAGACATTGCAGGGACATACGCAGCAATATATGGATGCGGATGCAGCGGCAGGCGCACCAGCAGTCTTTTTCAACGAGGAGGCCCCAAAGGAATGGAGGGCCGAGCAGCCTGGGAACGCCAAGCCCGAGACGATCGAGCACCTGAAGCAAAGTGGGCGCTTG